CTGTGTTGTGTGTTGCATACTTGAAACCAGTATAAGATTGTATACCAACGACACTTCAAAAATAAAAGCTCCTGCTCTGAGAACTTTAAAAAAAAGGTCTAAAGGGATACAACCAAGCACAGAGAAGAGCTACGAGGTGGCAAGCCATACTCATGACCCCATTAAAGGGGCAGCAGGAATGAGAGAGGGGGGCCAGGAAGGGCGCGAACAGGGAAGTGGTTAAGGTTAAAGAGGAACATTCTAGAGTCCAGGTACCAGGGAGTGAAAAGGTGTGCATAGATAGAAAGCCCAGGGCACGGCCATTTGGTGAGTGCCTCACACAGAGCAGGACTGGAGGGCCCTGGAGTAGAGGTGGCAGAGGAGCTGGGAGACTGACACAAGGTGAAGGGCTGGGGGACTGTAATGGGGTTGAGACTCAATGAGTGGGGTTGGAGCTAACTGGGTATTAATAGGTCACCCCAGGGGGAGGGGGAAGGAGGGGAATTTCACTCCGAGAGGAGGATGCCAAACTTGCCCACCCGAAGTTGACACCCTAGTGTGGTGCAAAGAGGCATAAAGAGGTTTTCTTTACCCAGTGGGATGGCGTTTTGGATTCTGTGGGGCTTCAGTTAACAAGTAAAGAAGGAGAGAGCTCCTATCATAAATCAACCAATTTCTTTTTCATGAAATAAAAAGTGTGTGGCTTGTGCCAAAGCTACAAGGAAATTTATACCGAACATTTAAATATATTTCAAAGTGAATGCTACCCTTCTTTCTTTGTCCTTTCATTCTTTAGAAGTTCAACTTACTAAAGGATCAGACTAAAGAAAGTCAAATGTATGCTGTTACCAAGTTCATCTTCTACCTAGTTCAATTACTAGACATTCTATTTTGTTTTCTTCTGAGTTTAGATTATAAGATTTATTTTAACACTCATATAACACCCACATCCTATCATGTGAGTGGCAGGCAGTTTGGGTGGTGAAGGAGGTATGACAAAATTCTTTCAGGGGTTCTTTGCATCCTGTTTGAGAAACAGACACCAGCAACTCTACCCTGCAGTCAAGGAATATTTTCCTGTGCCCTGAATTGAAGTCTCAGTCACAGTCTCTTGAGCCATTAGGGCTCCTTGCAGCCATAAAAAGCTCATGCTAATCTTGCCTATTTTCTTCTATATTTTAGGTTCCAAGCAAAGTCAACCACAATTAATATAAATTAAGAATGCTGGCATGGAAAGCTGTTCTTAACAATCTGTCACACTATAAATGTGCTACACAGAATCATAATCAAATCACTTCAACGTCCAGTGAAATGGTCATGAAAGAGGCCAAAGATATTTGGATAACACCCAGTGAAGTCTACCACTATGACCACGTAATGCCAAGAATTCAAATGGAATGTGTCCACAGTGCCGGAAGATTTCTGGGATGCTTTGACAGAATCACATCTTATTTAGAGCTTCTTATTCTAGACACAGACTCACATTTCTCTCAAAGCCAAGGTCATTAATAAAGATCTGTGTTGTCCAATATAGTAGCCACTCACCACATATGGCTACTGAACACCTGAAATATGACAGGTCTGAGATGTGCTGTAAGCATAAAGCATGGTGGACTTTAAAGATCATAAAAAAAGAATGCACAACTAACTCGATGACATTTTTAGATGTTCAATTTAAAAATTAACTTTAATGTTAATTACATGTTAGAATGATAATATTTTGGATAGATTGGGGCTAAGTAAAATAATTATTAAAATTAACTTCTCAAAAAATGTTTTGAAATGCGACCACCTGAAAATTTCCAGTTACAGATTCTGGTGCTCAGTATGGTTCTGTCGGTGTGGTTGAGTCACGAGGAGGCAGTCAAGTGTTGGGATTATGGGCAGGTACACTTGGACACTCGTAGGTTTAATTCCCACGGCTTCTACTTCCTCAGAAAGGGATTTGGCACAGTAGTTTTCCAAATCCTAGTTTCTTCATTTATAAAATAGGGACAATGACTAGGGCCTTCCTCTCAGAGATGATCAAATCTAAACTGCTTATATCTAAAGAGATAAGTTGGGTCCTTAGAATGGGCATTAAGTTCTAGTTTACAAAAAAGGGTACCATTAAAAGTTAACTGCCTCGTAAGTACTAGGTAGGGTGCAAATCTTAAAGAGTAAAATGGATCAAATCAAACCAAACGTAAAATATTCTTACCCTCTTCCTGCCTCTGATCCACTGGTACCGGGTAGCAGAACTACATTAAGGAAAGCAGATGTAAAATGCAAGTTATCCGAAGGGACTAGCTCTGCTGTTCGCAGGCCGCCTCTCTCTGCCAATGCGAGGTACAACGCAAACACACTTCACTGCTTCCTTCGGGCAAACAGGAAGGGCCTTTCTCCCAAGAGGCAGTCACATGCCATTAAGTAGCTAAACATTAAGTAATCTGGGGATTGGCAAGCTTGCTGGGCAGCATGGGAAACGGAAAACAAATGGGACAGGAGTCCACAGGCAGGGACTCAGTCCGGGATCTGCCAGAGCCCAGACCCAGGTCCCAGGAAATCTCACCTCGGCTCCCTCACTGTAAGATGGAGATAAGGACGGCCATGATTCTCACAGTAGATTGGTTTAAAGATTGCATTAAGTAATGGATCTAAAAAACACCTGGAAACTGTGAAAAATTACATAAATGTCACCTCTTATTATGGTTTTATCCTACTGGACTCTAGGAATACTCCACACAGATACAGCCACTTGGCTCTGTGGGGCAAAGCGAAGGAGCAGGTGGGAAAGAAGGTGACCTCTGTCCAAGGCACCTTACTTCTCAGGATCTTGGTGACCTCCTCTTCTTCCCTTTTTACTTTACAGACAGTCATTGGGAGGGCTTCATTAAAAACAAAAAATACTCAGAAAACTACTGTGTTACACTGATGCAAAGCATTGTCCTGGTTCGGATAACCATCGAGCTGATCTTACTGAAAGAGAGCGAAAAAAAATCCTGTTCGTTATCTAGGTGTCCCTCCTACCGTGAAAAGTAACCACTGCCAAAATATATTTCCTTGTATTTTTGACTCACATTTACTAGTTCAAGATAATAGATGGTGGCAATAACATGTGAATTGGAAAAGGAAGGGCAGAGTGTATATCTTCTGTTCGGGTCTTGGCAAGATGAAATTTACAAGAATCTCTGCCATCGTTTTCACGTATAGTCACATTCAGCACAATATGATAATCATAGCTGCAGGACATCATTCCTAACAGCTGTCATTTTGCATCCAGGCCATTAAAGCTGGCTTCTTTGGAAAAAATACTCTCCTTTATGGTTTTTGAAATCAGTACTCTACAATCTAGATACCTCAAGAGACATCAACAGGATTTTACCTAGCCATTAAGTTTTTTAGGCTGTAAGTAAGTTAGGACATACACAAATGTAACAATAATTTTAAAAGAGGAGTCCTCAGAGCTCCACATACAGAAATAAGAGCTCAAAAAAATATTATAGTAAAAGCATGCTATTGACCTACAACTAGTTATCTATAGTAATTAGGACTCAATTTCCCCACATCTCTTGTTAAAATTGTTAAAGGGAGTTTACTAGTACAAAAATTGCTTTTCTGTCATAGTGCATACTTCATTTTTAATCGTCTCTGATCATTCTCATATTTGTATCAAACTTTAACAATGAATTCTCTACTTTGAGATATTAAGCTTATTTAGTTTTTGCTGATTTATACTTTGATTTCTTTCATTTCAATTGGACTTTCCTTGCATTTATTGATTTTTGTGTAGTCTTCCCTTGATCTGGTGTTCCGGTATATGGATTAAAGCCACTCCTAAACATAAAACTTCAGACTCAGGAAGGCACCCATCACTTCATATGATGTTAGAGATTGTTCTGTGATTAATTCACTCCAATGCTTCAGTTCAAATGGGATTAGATAAAAGCATGAATTAACACTCACAAGAGGAAAATAGACTAATATCTACCATCTGAATATACATGTAAAATTCAAGGAGTTGACAAGAAGGTGAAAAAGACGCATCATGCTAAGTGACGGAGGCAATCAAGACAACCTGTTAGGAAGAGGATGAAAGAACAAAGCCTTAAAGGTCTCAGATATGCTCTCTAGAAGCTGAGAGGCATGTCGGTAAGTGTGTGGATTGTCCGCATGACAACAGCACAAACACATCACTACAGTCTGATTCCAAACATTTTCACCTTTCGTTTCTATTTCTGTCAGCCTGCTTTTTTTTTCAAGTTTAAAAGTTAGATTCTATAATTATCAACATTTTCACTACAGTTATTACTGCTCCCACTATTGCTAGTACCGTCACCAACAGGCCCAGAAGTCGTATTAGTAAAAAATACATGATGCCAAAAAGTACCTCCTTGTCACTGGTTCAGTATCAGCCTCCTGTAAGGCAGTGAGCAAAAAAGCAAATACCAGTGACACTGCCTGGAGGGTCGTTCTAAGAGCCAGGGTTACTGTTACTGATTCCACGCAAGCCTGAATATTTCCTACCAACAGTACAACTCAGGCACACGGTGGGGTTGTGCATTTGGCTACCCCGTCGAGCACACTGCTTTTTCTAAGCCAACAGTTTTCCCAAAGTATATTCATGGAATATTTGGGAGATGCTCTACCAAAAAGAGGCTACTTGGAGAAATGCTGTATCCCATATTGACTTCTTGAAGACTCACAGGGCATTTATCATATTAAAGATTCTTGCAATAAATAAATACAATTCATTGCCTAACTGTACCTCCTAAGTTCATTTGACCACGTAACCCTTCCCTACTCCTATCCCTCAACAGACAATCCTATGAACCTATCTCAGAAATAATACTGCTAGGGAGACACACTGGAAAATACTCTTTTTGACCGACAGGGATAGAATTAATTCAGATGGATGTAAGATCCTCCCAAAGCTTGAAAACTTGAAAGAGGAGACAACAACGTGGCCAAATGAGTGTCGAGAAGGAAAGGATTTCCTGAAATGACACAGCCACCTGATCAGTGGTACACGTTCTACTTACTTAAGGAGATTCCCGAGATTGAAAAGGGCCCGGTTGTGCTGTGGATTTAGCTGGAGAGCCCTTTGGTAGTACATCTTTGCCTCGGCTGTGTCTTTTGTCAGTGTTCCCAGGTTGTTCAGGGCACTGGCATGGCGTGGATAGAGCCTGAAAAATTAGAAATATTAAGTGATGATTGTTCAAAAACTTCTAAGTTAGGCGCAATGTGCTTGCTGTCCCCTCCACCTCCCCAGATATGATGCAACCAAAGAAAACACTGAATTCATTTTAATGGAATGTCTATGTCAAATCTTAGTGGTGAACTCTTTGGCATATAAATATGGCAGAGAAGCATGTATTTGACAGTGGTATAAGTAAACTGCCCCCTAATAATGCAAAAATAAATAATATGCAAATCTACTCAGGTTAAGGAAATTTTAGTCTCTTAGAACCTACTGTGACTTTCAACTTCCTTTGAGGGAAAATCCTCACTGCCTCCGTGGTGAGTTTCTGGTCTGGTGGGGCTGCTGACCGGCCGCCTATACAGTGCCCACTATTCACACAAGATCCTGGAAATCCCTTGGATGAGGGATCTTCATAAACATATTTGGATTGGAAGATCAGTAAAACTATCATTATGGAGGAATGATGACACATATACAACCTTTTCCCATAAAAATAAGCTTTATACCCCAGATGGGTTCCCTATTTTATCTCCTTTGCCTCCTACTATAATTTGGTACCACCTGGCCTTATAGTTCTCAGAAAGAAAAACTTGACAAACACTTAAAAATAAAAAACTAATTACACAATGAAGGGAGCATAGAATTCCTATGTTCAAAGGCCAAGGCAAAGGAGGATTGGGAATCCATCAGCAAACCAAATTTATGCTGATGAAGGAAGGAAGGGAATCAATTTACTTCCTTAACTCAAAACTATAATGAAGGCAGATCAGCATGGTCACGCAGTTTAGTCGTTTCTGCTGTAGGTAGCGCAGACATATTTAGCTGTCTGAGGAGCTCTGCTCCACCTCTGTCATCCAGAGTGCTTTCAGTAAGTCTGTGAGGCTGGCTTTTAACATAGAATGATGGCCAAGTAATAAAAACAGGATCTGTACTTGTGAAGTCTCTTGACAATCAAATGCCGTGTTTGCTTCCTCCCACTCTGTTCCGTACCCTCTAAGATCAGTTTAATTTGGGGACAGAAGAGGTTGCTATTAAAAGGCCAAAAAAGATAAGTTGCATAGTTTGCTTGTTTTTAAGTCTTGCTAAGTTTATGTGACCACGTAACCCTCCCTTCCCTACTCTCAGCTATGAACAGACCTCAGCACTACTATTTCCAGGGAGACATTCTGAGTAATGCTCCTTTCGGCGGACAAGGAATAGCGTCAGTTCAGCTCAGTGTTACACCCCGAAGCTGAAGAGCCCTGATTACTCATAATGGCTATGGAGACTGTTGGGAGAGACAGGAGTTTCTCTCACGCAGCATGTGAGCTGTGGCATGCATCTTTCTGGCCACCTTTAATTAGCAAAGGCAACTTGAGGGTCCCTGGTACCAGTCCCCCTAACAACCTACCTCACAATCCTGAGGGACAGCAAGTCCTGGGCTCTCCCTCCGAACTGCCACGAGGATACCAGAGCTATGCGGAGAGGCCAAATGCCCTCGTTCCTGCCCACTCACTACAAGCCCGGGAAGCTTGCGTCCAACAGTCACCCTGGAAGTGGTTACAGAGAGCCCAGTATGGCCTGGACTCAGAACTCAAATTCCCTAGAGAAACTTTCTTTTTGGATGTTGGGGAAAGCTCTCTGACTTCCCAAAGATTTAGGAGCTGTCCAGTAAACATGGTGAGAGCAATTCTCATCATCTCCCTGATGACAAGCAGTTGTAGCCATCATGCCAGGGACATCTGCTTTCTCAGAAGAGGTGATTTCCTAAACGTTGATCTTTTCCTTATTTTCTTAGGCTTTGGGGCCCATGAAATAAATGCCTGCGGTAAAAGCACTAACTATGGGGAAGGGGAGTCTAAATTCCGCCTTTCCCAGCGCCCGTCTGCACCCGCCAGCAGCTGGTTCTCAGCTCACCTTCCTGGACTTCCTAGTCACTCCGATCGCAGTTATTCAGAGGAACGGTTGGGTACTTGCAAAGTTCACTGACTACAAAAATGTCTGTCTCTTTTCTTTTTTCTAATCAGAAACAGGATGTAAGTCCACACTTAACTCAAACACAGAAGCAAGCAGTGAGAAGGGAAGCAAAGAGAAACAAATATAAGCAGAGTGAGGTAAAGGGCTTCTAGAAGGCCCCGGGGCTCCAAGAACCGTGGAACTAAGAACAGGGACTCGCTGCCAGCCAGCGCCAGGAAAAGGCCCTGCGCCCAGTCCAACCCCCCCGGGGGAACAGGCTGCTGGCATTTACATGCTTCACTTAATCTTTTTCCACTCACACCTCTCCACTTGCAAAAATGTGTGATATTGTTTATTCCTGTAATAGGAAGGGTCTGCTAGCAATATCCTCTTTGCTGGGTATCTGCTTAGGTTCACTAATCACAGGCAAGCATTGCATTCGTTACTTATGAAATAAAGCTGAATTTCATGAAGAGGATTTTTCAACAACCAGATCAGAAAATAGAAACACTTTTGATTTTGATTTTTATATAGATGTAGATCTTTTCTTAAGACATATACTCTTGTTTACAGAAGATCTATGCAGGGACAAAACATATTTTGCATGTTGACTTTTAAAATAAACTTGTATTTGAAGTAGCTTGGGTCTAATTGAATCCTGAGGTCTCCAGAAAGGGAATTTTCTACAGGAAAAATGAATGATTTAAGAGTTGTCTATGTTGCTATGTCAACTGTCAGAATAACCTAAGTCCATCTGGACTCTGCCTTCTCCAGGTACGTTTTATAAAAGTTCTGTTAGTGATTATTCCTTCTCCCATCTAGAAAACCTCAGTGAAAGGTTCACTGAATTAGAGCAGAGCAGAAGGGCGATCTTCAGGTCTACATTTTTAAGGTCAGCGTGAACAGCCATTGGATTTTCTTTCTCACAGCTCTTACTGAACATTGTATTGTTTATAGGGGTTTTATTGCCATTTCTTTCTTGTTAGCATCATTTTTACTTCAGTGAGGTAAATATCTTAAAATTTATTATAGAGAGAATGTGTTCTATTGTGAAATAGTTCTGGGGTATAAGGAGCTCTAATTTTTCTCTTTACAAAAGAAATCTAAGTATAGAGATACAGTTCTAGGAGCTGGAGAGGTTTTCTTCAAATATCCAGTTATATACATTCTTGATAAACACACATCCATTTGAACACGCAAGGGGTTCTTCATTTTTCTCCAGTGGAGTTTCCTTTAGCAGAGTTCATCCAGTAGGCAGTTAAGGACATTATTATTGCCCTCAATTCCCTTATCTCTGTCACCTTATCTCTGAGAATCAACATCAGCAACATGTTTACGAGAAATCGCCCCTGGCAGGGAACACTCACCTAAGTACACAGAAGGCAGAAACCAAAGGACCCAAGGTGTATTAGTGACCCTTCACATTTTAGACTAATTTCTTGTCCATTATCTCACTTAACCCACCTAATTCTTTAAGTATAATTATTGCATTATTCTGCAGTTCAGCAAAGGGAGGCTGGGAGAAATTAAGTCACAGATTATTAAAAAACAGAAAGAGGTATCTTCAGAAGCAGTTGTGGTTCTTAACTGTTAAGAAGTCAGATGGTTCCTGTAATTTTTCTTTTCCTAAACAATATGAGTCATTCAACAGTCAGCAAATAAATACACTGCTGCAAATTAGAGCTTCCATTTAGAATAATTTCTCCTTTTTCTAATATTGTCAGTCCATTCAACTCTGATCTTACAGGAACTAGTTCTCAGTGACTAAATGAGGTAATACTCAGGAAAAGTTGGCTACTGAGATTCGTATGCACTGGAAAAATCTGTCACCTGCCATACAAAATAATCATAGCATCGCTGAAAAGCAGTGTTATGGAAAGCTACTTATAAACAAGAACAGTGTGCAAAATGTATATACATTCTATATTTATGCTAATCTACTGTTTTTAAGTTTTAACCTCAAGATCGACCTCAAGATTCATAGACACAAGATGTGTTTGACTAAACTTTTGTTTTATATTTCATTTACTATAAATTTTGTGCAATCTGCTCAAAAGCTAAGGATGCTTAGCTTTTGAACACCTTAAAAGGCACCGCATTGTTCAGTAATATGTCATGTGCTCCAGTTTGCAATTTCCTTGCGGAATATACCCACCCTGATTTATTTGTCTGATTTTCATTCCACACATTAATTTATTTGAGGTTAACTATGCTAAGGTCAAATGTTTATTTTCTATTTCCTGTTGAGGGAAAAAAAAAAAAAAGAATCCAAAGGAAAAATATGTCTGGGAAAAAATTCAACCATAAAACCTGAATTCCAGTAGGCTAAAAAAATACCCAAGTAAACATTTCAGAAGCTGGCAGCACATTTTCAATCACATTAGTCTCTGGTTTTCTGAAGTGCTGATTCTTTCATTTACAAAATTTGAATCATCGTGTCGCTACCTTGCCCTGGGTGACACTGCCGTTAGTTATTGGTCTGCCTCTGTAATTATTTGAAATTGCACGTTGTCTGCACTATACTCCTTCCCGTCCATTACGGCAGCCTTGGAAGAAAACCTCAAATGCAATCCAGGCAAATGGGACACTCTCTCCCATGTGGGGCCCCCTACATTATCTGACCTCTCACAGTGGGTGACCTCCAGCGTGATCCAGGGCTCCATCCAATTGATTTTCCAAGACAATTTATAGAGTAAAACCCTGCTCTCTGGTGCCCTCAGGAAATGAGTCATTTTAAGTGGCTGCGTTTTTCTGATCCCTGAGAATTTAACTCTAGTGGTCGAGAAATGTATTGACTTCAATACTTCTCCACTCTTCTAAACAGAGAATGGTGAATGTAATTTAACCTTGCTCAGAGGCTTGGGGCGATCCTGGTGCCATTTGGTTTTTGTGGCAGATGGTGGGGAATGGCCTGGTGTGGAGAAAGAACAGTATTTGGAGTCAGCAGCCATGGGTGGCTTTCTAGCTGTGCTTTGGAATTTACGTGGGGCCTGTAGTTGCTTTCTCTGTAATAACAAGGTCACCAATATGCTGAGACCTTCAGTGTGG